GCTGATTATGCAGGTTTCCTAGTGGATAGGAAGAGCAACTCAGGTATGGCACACTTACCTGGTTCATGCTTGTGTCATGGGCTACTAAAAAGCAAAAATTCAATGGCCTTATCTACTGCTGAAGCTAAGTATATTGTTGTTGCTTCATGATTGTGCTCAATTGTGTGGANACTAAGCAGCAGTTGATGGATTTTGATATTGAAGTTGGTTGCATCCCATTTTTTGTGATAACACTAGTGCTATTAGTATGACTAAGAATCCAGTTCATCATAAGAGAACTAAGCACATAGATGTTATACACCATTTTTTGAGGGACAACTATGAGAAATGATTGATCACTGTGGAGTTTTGTGCTACTGACAAGCAAATTGCTGCATCTTCACAAAAGCCTTAAGTAGAGATCACTTTGAGAGGAAAAGGTTAGAATTAGGGATGATTAAGATCACCAAAAAGGACCAGTTCAAGGTTAAACGAAAAAAATTGAAAAAAAATTTAGTTAGAAAGTCTGTAAATTGTGTATAAGTATATTAAATCTTGCTCAGTCTCATACTTTCCATAGTATACTCTTGTTCCATGTGTTGAAATGACTCATTAATCTCTAATGATATTTCTCTATTTTGGCAAATTTAGACTCACACAAGAGAATTATCAGTGAAGAACCTGGTTCATCAAGATAACACGGTATGTTTTCTACACTCTGCATAATTTGAAATAACTATATTAGGATCATGAGCAGAGTCCTACCAAATACCAAACTCCTTTTGGACTTATCCATTACAAGTGAACCAGTCCCGTTCAAAAGAGTCCCAACCGAATGAAAATATCTAGATTCTAGGGATATACTCCAACATCTCTTCAAAACTGAATTTAAGTTTGATTAAACTTCTAAGAGTCTGAAAAGCTGTAGTTACCCCATCAATTATTCCCTGTATATTGATCAGCTTTAGTGTATTCCTTACCTCATCTCTCTCAAGACGTCAAAAACTCTCATTCTTCTTTCATCTTCCAAACACAATCTAATTCTCTTCTCTTCCATACCCTAGCCTAGATATGTCAAACACTTCTGAAAATCCTTCATCACCACCACAGGAAACCATTTCCACACCTTCTACAACACCAATCTCGAAGAAAAGTAGAGTAAAGATGATGGCTCATAAGATTGTCGCTGAAGGAGAGCAGATCAAGAAAATAAACAAGCAATTAAAAGCAGGTAGGAAGAAGAATCCTAGAAATCTGAAAATTCATTTAAGTCTGCTGCTAAGGGGGAAGAAAGTAGGTATTCCGAAATTGAGCAGGTATCTTCTGATTCTAAAATTACTCTTGAGACAATTTCTGAAGTTTCTGCAAATTTGGAGAATAGATTTGTACTGGTAGGATCTATAGAAGGTGTTGAGACTACAGAATCTGGAGAAGTTGGTGGTAAAAATAAAAAGGGAAAAGAAAAAGATAGCAAGGGTGCTAGGAGTACTGTGAGGGGAAAGGGTACAAGAGTGGTTGATTCGTCACCCACTCATGTTGGTATAACAAAAGAAACTGGTGCAATGGTTATTTGGGGAGAGGAATTCACTGAAATAGAAGAGAGTGTGAGCAAAACAGGGGGAAGTGGGTCTGGCAAAGCTGCTGAGGAGTTGGTTCAACTTGGAAAAAATATAGATGAACCTATTCCATCTGAACAGGAAACCCTCTTAGACCTACTGATAGGATTATCAATGGCACCAAAACTCATGCCATTCCCTATGGTTTCATTCTCACAACTGTGCTTCCACATTTCAAGGTACAAGCAAGGATCATTTCGGGGTTAATACTCTGCTTGCTTGCGATTACGAAGTTAATGTCATTATTAATGAACCTGGTTCATCTAAAAGGACACCTATCAATAGCAAGGTCAGAGCTCTATTACAGGAGAGTGAGGCAAAGGATGTTGAGATAGCAAGGCTGAAGACACGATTGGTTGAGGTAGAATCTGAGAGAGATGTTCTCAGAACTGAACTGGTAATGAAAAAGGAGAAGAATGATGGAATTCTTCAAGACATGATGAAACTTCTCCAAGCAAATAACCCACCCCCTACTCTTCCAAGCCTTAAATCCTAGCCTAGTGTAGATCAACCAGTGACCCAATTCGGGACTTTTTGTTTCTTTTGCTCATGTTTTCAGTATTTTTATTTCTTCTTATGCTTTGTGGTAGAATTTTATCAATCATCAATGAAATTCATTGCCTTTTGCTCTAACTGTTTGTTTATATTTCTTTGATGGTTAAAATTCTTAGCTTGATCTATGATGATTAATTCATGATTGCATTTGAAGTAGCCCCAGTGGCCATGAGTAAGTTTTAAAATCTGGTTATCTCACATTTTTTATGCAACTTTTAGATGATGCCAAAAGGGGGAAAAATGTTGTGCTTTAAACAAGTGATGTTTACACTTTGAACAGTGATGTTTATAACCTAATGTACCTGGTCCTTGATGATAAGTGATAAAAAGGAAAAATGTTTCTAACATTGTGTTGATGTTGAGCTGAGTTTTGGCAGGGCCTAAGTGTATAAAAAGCACTGAGTTTGTCATCATCAAAAATGGGAATTTGTTGGCCCAAGTAAAGGTTAGCTTTGAAGACTGACAAAGGAACTGAGACATGAATCAGGTCCATCCAGAGGTCCATCACTCAGGCGCACAGAAACGGGCAGATTTGAGCATGTGGGTTTCACGTGAAGGAGATAAGCTTAACTTGGTGTATTTAATATCTCCTGATCGAAAAGGTTGCATAATTGATAAGGAGAAGGAGTCCTTAGTCAAAGAGAACACAATTCAAGATAGGGAAGGAGTTAGAAGTTGAAATCAACTAGAACTCTTCAACCAAGGAAGAGTTGCATCAGAACTCTAGTTATTTCTTCATCTACTAACTCTATAAATTGCAGGATGTTCTCACATTAAAGTATCGCACAAAAACGCAGAAGTTAAACGTGAATTGGGAGCAAAATAGCAAGGCTTTTTGCAAGCAGTTGTTGTGTGATTCAAGTGTGCAAACCAGAAGCTACATGAACCAGATTGAAGAACCAGCTCCATAAAGAGTTTTATGTGTCTTTCTTTATTTCTAGTTCAATTGTAGTAGGTGTTTCATATTGTACCTTTCAGCTTTATCTAGAAGCAATTGTAATAGGTATTTTGAGTATTCAAGTTAGAGTTAACTTGAAGTTGTCGCAGCAGTTAGAGGCTGGTTTCTACAACGGGATTAGAGTTAATCCTTAGGTTTACAAAGAGTTTTGTAAATGCTGTTTTGGCTCAGTGATTTTAGTGGAAGTTTGGGAAAATCTTACTGAGTAGTAGGTCGTAGTTTTTTCACCTTTTGAGCCAGGTGTTTTCCACGTAAAAATCTCTGTGTTCTTTATTTTTGTATTTATTATTCCGCAAACAGCAGTAGTTAGTATACATAGAAGAACCAGATTTTTCTAGAGCGAAAATTGGGTACCACACAAATCATCCCCCTCCCCCCCCCCCCCGCTCCTCTTGTGTGGTATTGACGTTTAGAACATCAATAGCACATGTGAATTATTGTGTGGTTTGGTTGTTGTTGTTATGCGGAGTATAAGGGTGGCATTTCGCCGTTGTTGTTATGCGGGGCATAAGGGTGGTATCTCACTGTTGTTGAACATACGGAGTGATATACGGGTTGTTCTAGGAGAGATAAGGGTGGTAATTGATAATGTCAGGGCGAAGTGATACGGGTGGCTATCAGAGAGATAAGGGTAGCAATATTAGGGATGATGTGTGATGGTTTGGAGACATTGTGTATGTGATTTTCATGTGATGGTGCGCTTTTCCTTGTGTTTTTCATACACCTTACGTGACTTGCTTTGTTGTTTCAATGAGTTATTCGGTGTCTTTGTTATTACTTGTTGACTTGGGCTGCAGAAGTACACTCGCACAAGCATACACCGTAGCATGCCACTTATACCAGCTCAGGAGTATAAAACTTGACATTTATTGATCATGCCTATGTGTTCTTGTATTATCTATTTCATGTGTGCTAGCTTTGCAACTACTACTTCTCTTGATACTGCTACAAGATCTGTTTTTTGCTGCTGTTAGAAAAAAAGAACAAGAAAAATAAGATTTGGTATTTATAGACACACAATCTGGTACAAGTCCTTGATGTAAGCTTTTTCACATCTTTATATGATAGTTATTTCATGTAACAAAGGACTGGATCCGCCCCTGTATCATGTACCACAAAAGATATGGTCCTATTATAATACGTAGAATTTGTTCTTCTTCTTCTTCTTTTTTTTTTTTTTGGTAGACTCATGTATGTGGTATTTATTAACCCGACTAATGTATATACACATCTTTAAAGGAAAAAGTACTCCCGATATAAATTTCTTCATTCACATAATTCGAATTCGAAACCCTTGTTAAAAATTTCCTGTATATGAAATTTTTAGAGTAGCATAACCTTTGAGAGAATTTCTGGGAGATGAGTCAAAGTAGATTAGCTAAGTGCTTACGTATATGTTTCAAGTCTTCGACAAACATGAATTAATTTATTTAATAAATCATTTGTCTTTTCATGTCTTAAACAACGTTAGGCGCCCGGCAACGCACCCAAAATATATATAAGAAGAATTGATAAAGAAAATAGTAAAATAGGAACCTTCAACCACTTCCTCAAATTTTGAGACTTATGCTTATTAAAAGCATTCGATCAATATGGTATTATGGTAACATTAAATTACAAAATTGAATTCTCAAGAAAGAAAACATTAAATAATTTACTACTTGGTTGCTAAGACACCTCATCGATTTTTTTCTTCTATAAAAGAAGACCAAAATTCAAGAGAGAACCACCAATGAGAATTACTTAACACAGTAAATTAGCAAAAAATTGAGAACTAAAGTTGTGAGATGGCGCAAGTGAAGTTGCTGGGTCTTCGGTATAGCCCATTTAGTCACAGAGTTGAGTGGGCTCTAAAGCTTAAGGGCGTGAAATATGAATTTGTAGAAGAAAATTTACAAAACAAGAGCCCTCTGCTTCTTGAAACCAACCCTGTTCACAAGAAAATCCCAGTGCTAATTCACAATGGCAAACCCATTTCTGAGTCTCTGGTCATTCTTGAATACATTGATGAGACATTTGAAGGCCCTTCCATTTTGCCTAAAGACCCTTATGATCGATCTTTAGCTCGTTTCTGGGCTAAGTTCCTTGACGATAAGGTAAAATCCTATCTGCATAATTTAATAAACTTTTATTTGAGACTAAAGTTATTTTCAATGTTTAATTCCATATATGATGGTTTAGTCATGTCATGCGTCAATCTTCAGATCTACAGATCCGTAAGTGTAAAACCATTCCCATGGAGGTGTTAAAAGGGAACAAGGTAGACTTAGAAGTTATTTCGAAATACTATTGCAGATTTTACGAAGAAAAAAATACGACACAATGAAAAACAAGATCTCTATATAGGTAGCAATTAGATGGGAAAATGGTTTAGCGATGTTAGTAAGTCTACCTAGGTCTTATATTTCTTTAAATATTCAATAATGTCATATTTATGTGTCAGAAGAAAATATACAAAGCTTGGAATACTGTTCATATTTTAGTATAGCAATGGTGTCGACTTTAACTTGTGATTGAGACATAGTATTGTCGTTGTTGTTGTTGTTAAGTTAAGAGCATTTTGCAGGTGACTGTAATAGTGAATACTTTCCTTCGCAAAGGGGAGGAACAAGAGAAAGCTAAAGAGGAAGTTTGCGAGATGCTGAAAGTTCTTGATAATGAGCTCAAGAATAAGAAATTCTTTGTGGGTGACAAATTTGGGTTTGCTGATATTGCTGCAAATTTGGTGGCATTTTGGCTAGGAGTTTTTGAAGAAGCCTCTGGAGTTGTTTTAGTGACAAGTGAAAAATTTCCAAATTTTTCGAAGTGGAGAGATGAGTACACTAACTGCAGCCAAGTCAAGGAATCTCTACCTCTAAGAGATGAGTTGCTTGCTTTTTTCCGAGCTCGTTCTCAAGCTGCTACAGCTTCTGCTTCCGCTCCCAAATGAACAGATTCACATACATTTTATGAAGTTTCGAGATTATGTGTCAGAATAAAATTGTGAATCTAGGACGAGTTTTATAGATTCAATTATGTATACTTATGCAAAAGAAAATTTTTTTTATATAAGATTAAACTCGTTCAGAATTAATGACTCTAGATTCTGCATTCTCTTCATCCTAATAAAACTACTTCTTAGAAAAGCTAGCTTAGCCCTAGGTAGTCACATACAGGAAGTTTCTCGAATTACTGTTTTAATTTGCTAGTTGGTCAGTGATCATACAATCATTAACCATATGAATTTCCTCATCGAATTGAAAAAAATGCAAGAAAAGCAAACCACATCTATAATTTATTGAAATAGTGGCTGGCATAAGCACTTAAGTCACTCATATGTACAGGTAAGCATCGATCTAAAATGATACTCCCGCTATTCCAATTGATGTGAACTTATTTCCTTTTTGGTCCGTTCCAAAAAGAATGATCCCTTTTAAATTTGGTAACAATATAGCTTAAAGTTACAATTCTACCCTTAATGGAAAACTTTTATAACCACACAAATACTCTGACCATTTTTTGATTTATTTAGGACAACAAATTCTAAAAATCTTCATTTTTTCTTAAATTTCGTGCCCAATCAAACATGTTCATATAAATTGGAACGAAGGAAGTACTTATCACTTATATGTAGTACAAGTAAGCTTGCATAGATTTTGAAGTTTATATTCTTTTCTTGCTTGACTATATATATGCACAACATTAAATTTCTATAAATGTCAGAACTCTTAGACCAATAATTATTCAAAATCCCAAATAAGGTTTGCTAGATTGCAATGGATTTCAGAAGGTTTAAGACTCTCGTAGACAAAGTCTACGAATCTTCTAGTTAAGTGGGTGATTTTCACGGGTATGCTTTTTTTTTCTCGGCGAATTACATAAACAAACATTTAAAGTTGTGAAAGCACAAGAGGAGGGTGAATTGCTTTATTTTTAAAATTAATTGTTATAAGTTGACTAGTTTTTCAATCAATCGACTAGATGTAACAATGAGATATCAAAAGGTGCAGAATTAAAATGCAGAAGTAAAGTGCAGGAATTAAAGACACCGGAGTTTTTATACCGGTTCGGATTCAATGTGAATCCTAGTCCAGTCCCCTTGAGTTGCAAGGGATTTCTCTTTCAGTGATTGAGTTTCTTGAGTACAAAGTGAATGGTGTAGTTTACACCAACAGATTAGTTTCTATGTCACTCGTCTTTTCTTGATACAATGTCTCACCAGTATTTTTCTCTCTTTCTTCTCTAACTTGTTACACAGCAGATCTAGTAGAGTTACAATGTTTGTTTGTAGTAGAACAAAGAGATGGTAATTGGTTTGATCAAAGTATAAATCTCTAAGTCTTAAGGTTGCGTATAAATACTTTGTAGGAGATTGATACTGAAGAGATTTGCCAACCCAAGAGATTTGATCCTTGGAAAGAAATTGTTTCTTTCCTAGAATAAGGTTAATTCCAGTTACTCTTCCTTGATGTGTGGACTTTGACAGCTTTCCATCTTCAGGCCTTGATAGTGTCGTATTTGCTCCTTAAATCTGGGTCCTTCCATCTTCAATGCTTCGTTTCCTTTTTTAACTCTTCACGCAATCGCTGATTGATTTTCTTGCCGGATTCTTAGTGCTTCTTTTCCTTTTAGATGCTTCAATCAATCTTTGATTGATTTCTTCCTTCACCTTTGATTATTTCTCTTTATGCACTTCGATCCTTTGAGTCCCTACACCAAAAGCAATTATATTATCTTTTATCATTAAAACTAAAACCTAACAATCTCCCCCTTTTTGATGATGACAAAAAATAATATACGTAAACATCAGTTAACTTTCCTGTATTTTACTCCCCTCAACGAGTGCAGTTGACTCCCCCTCAATAGGTGCCATTTGGAATACGTCCTTTAGTCGACTTCTCCTGTAGTATCTATAGTTGACTCCCCCTGCAATGAATGTGCCTGCACAAATATATGGATAGCAGCCTTCTCCCCCTTTTTGACATCAGTAAAGAGGGGATAAAAAAACACAAATACACTAAAGCATAATTATAGCAGGAAATGCATTATATGCATGCAGAGTTATAGCAAAACAAGAAAAGAAGAAGAAAAATCATCCAACGACTGGTTATCCAGTCCAAAACAACACAACAAAAAATTGTTTGAAACTTCCACACTAACGATGCAGGAAATAAGTAAGAGTGTTGCAAATCGCCTCCTTCAGTTGCTCAAAGCTAGCATTCGCTGAGACAGTCACTCCATCAAGCATGTCGTGTACTTCCTTGAATGCCTTGACTGCATTTTCCCTAACTCTGAGAATTGCAACCCTTATCTTGGAAACATCAGACCCTGTCTCTTTGGAGATTGCATGAATGTCCCCAACAGTGGACTGAGTAGCAGCAAGAAGATCTCTGATGGTGGTCAGCTAGTTGTCAATGGCAATTAGTTTCTCAACAAGGTCAAGATTACTAAGGCTGTGATGGGAAACAGAGGCTTTGATCTTGGGATCAGGTTGAACATGCATGAACTCACCTTCCTGTTTCTTAACCCAGGAGCCCTTCAAACACACATATCCTATAATAGTAAACGCCCTAGAATTGTAAGATTTTGAAACTGAGACGAAGGGATAGTTAGAGATAGAGATATTATGCGCTTCCAGAATGTGAGTGAAGGCAATGCCATAAGGCAGACTGGTAGGATCATCAGCACTTTCAATCATAAAATTTATGACCAGGAGGACAGTTTGACCTTGAGTGTGGTCACAAGACAATAGACAAAAAAAGTATCCCTTTGAGAGAAGGTGAAGAAAGAGCCAGTACGAGGGAGCAGAGTAGTTGCAACAATGTGGGCTAGGACACGAGTTTCAAAGCAAACATCACTTGGACCTAACTGGTTCGGGAGGGATTTAGATGAACACTCAACAATACATTGTTTTGCTTGATCAAAGGTGATTTCAAAATCATCAGGCCAAGAATTTTGAAAAGCATGGGAAAACCAGAACACTTACACTGGAAGATCGAATCAAACATGGCACAATCAAGAACAATGCGCTTTCCTAACACTAAGGATTCCAACTTATCAGACTTACTAGAGCGAAGATTTACATAAAACATTCTCACTAGGAGTTCACAGACTTTAGGAGGGGCAACAGAGAGGAATTTTGACTAGCCTTGATAAACAAACAGATTTTTTACCTTACAGTTTAGGGCTTCCATGTCATCAAGGTTGACTACTTTGCCATGAGCGATTGTCTTGTCTTTCAGAGCAATGAAAATATCCTTGTTTGGAGAATCCCAGAAATTTAGGTCAGGCTCGAAGGAACTTGAGAGATCAAATTTTGATTTCTTTGGAGTAAAGGACTCAGGAGGTTCTTCCAGAGGTCTTTTTCCTAGGCAAAACCCTCTGAGTGTTCGGACCCTAGGTCCATGTCACACCTCCTTTTTTTACTACTACACCCCGCGAAGGGTATAATAAAGGGAGTTTTTCCAATTAAAGGACAATCGAAACGGGATTCGTTTATTAAGAGATTCAGAGTCGCCACTTGGGAGATTTATGGTGTCCCAAGTCACCGGTTTGAATCCCGAATCGAGGAATGGTTTGACCTCTGTTTAACAGTCGCGAACCAGAAATCCAGGTAAGGAATTCTGTTAACCGGGAGAAGGGGTTTAGGCACTCCCGAGTTCCGTGGTTCTAACACGGTCGCTCAAACTGCTATATTGGCAAAAATCTGATTTTAATACATGTTTAGCCTATGGTGAATTTAAATTATTACGCTTTTATAATTATTTAAAGAATATTGAACGTCGTTTAAAAACGTGTTTTGATCACGTCACATGAAATGCACCTGTATCTCGACACATTTTTATTCAACGTTTTGGGATTTGGATTTGGTTGCATGAAATGCACCCCGTATTTAGGAAAGTAGATTATTAAAAAGCAAGCCTAAAGCGACTAAGGTGTTATTATCTTTACGGGAGGCCGTTGAAATTCGCTAAAACGGCACGCCCCGAATTCTAAGGATCAAAGGATTGTACTCAACTAATGCAAATTACGGGTCATTTTAAGTGATTTCCCTAAACACTGTTAAATAAAATAGTGCTATAACAAACAGTTTTCTCCGGTTAGCTCTGAATAACGAAACAGCAATTAATGCGAGAATTTCCGTCATCTATTTAGAAACTAACTCTCCATCGCATATACTACAAATATCCAATCATGTTAATGCTATGTACGTTGAAGTAAAACTGATTGTCAATCCAATTAGCACTTATCTATAATGATTTTCAAACTCATTCAAAAATGGCCTTATAGGAAACAAAGACTCAACTGGAACATAACATAATACAAATGACACAAAATTGAACAGAATTTCAGACCGCTAACGACGCAATTCAAACAATAGTATTAGCCAAACGATTCATCAAACATAAAGAGTACTACTTCTGAACACGACACAAAGGCAAAAAGACTGACCGAAGGCACATACCCTCTGGCACAGAACCAGCACGGGAGACCTCGACGCGACAACCTCGAAGGGCTTCGGCCAAAAAACAAATAGAATCGACCTTCGATATTCAATCGAAAAAGTCGGGACTCGCCGGAGCCACGACAAACACTCAACAACGGCGCTCGTCGTGGACTCAATCGCTCAAACAAACTCCGTTCATGGAGAAGCGAAAATCTGAAACTAAGGAGACGAAACAGAATGTTTTATGCGCTATGTAGTTGTCTTGTGAGTTTTACGTCAAGGAAATCTCAAAGTATGTGTGTTTTGTGTGTGTAGAGATCCGTGGATGGCTTTTGTTTAGCCACTGTTAGTTTTCGATGGAGAAGATGAAGCCAGGTCCAAAACGGCGGATCGTCTGCTTCAGGTTTTGGTCGTTGTTTGGGGTGTAACGACGAGTTCACCGCTGGTGGGGAAGGAGAGTCCGACGTGAGCTATGGAGGTGGAGCTAAGTTCTAGGGTTTGTGGTGTTAGACCATGAGGAGATGAAGAAGAAAGGTTTATTTTTTGTGTTTTTGTCCAGTATTTCGGCTGAAGGGTCTTCAGCTCTCTAATTTCTTCAGCATTTTTGTTCTCCATGGAAGAAGAAAACCATGCATGTGCTCTCTAGCAGA